CATATGCATAAGTTTGACCGTGTGTATGAACTGATATTTATGCACATGGAATCTGATGCCTCCCAGTTTGCAATTGCTCTTCATCTGTATGAATCATATTTCTTTCTTTGAATGGAAACGAGGTTTCTCACCACCACCACCACCATCAGTCTATAAGTCATTGTTCACCACCATCGTCACTCTATACGCTTCAGCACACGATTGCCCTCGATTTACTTTCAAGTTTTTCAGGTAACTTTTTCGTATTTACTAATTCATTGACATTTTTTGATTTTCCACAATTAAAGTCGTTACTGTTCTTTTGTTTCACTTTATTTATTAGATTTTCTGTGTTTTGAGGACAAGATCCATTTCAAAGCAAGACTACAAACTTCTGCAAAGAAGGTAGGTTTTAGGGTTTATAACTTATTATACCTGATGTAGTTACGAAATTGTAATACTTTTCTCTGTACACCAATGTGTATGTACTCATATTTGAAGTAATAGTTGACATTCTTCTATATTATCTAATATTAATATGTTACTACAACAGTTAGATTCAAAATGCTCAACTACGTAAGGAGGAATTTGTTGATAATGGCATATCAATAAAAAAGTAATATTCCTTCTTTTAATGCTTAGTTATGTGAATGATATATGATAATATATCTAAAGACATTTATTATATGTATTAAGTGGGTTGTATTGATATATGTTAAATGCCTATTTTATAATTTGTTACAATAATTTAGTCCCTATCTTTTACATTTTATCAATTAAATTTTTATGGAGTCCTTAATTTATGTCATATACATTTGTACAAAATAAAATCATAGGTAGAAAATAGAAACACCAAATTGTTCTACCATCTTGACCACCATTGTGGTTCTGGATTGGGCTTCTATGTTGTTAATTTATTCATAAAAATAAACAAAACCTAATTTATAATTAGACAAATTTTGCTCAAAAATGAGAAATAAATCAGCCAATCTATTAGTGAAATTGCTAGATTCTCCAAAGTAAAATGTTTCAATCTGTTTACCAGGATCCGTTTAACACTATTTAGGAACCAACTACCAGCTGTTTTATAATTTTTATTATATGTGACATTACATACTATTTATTGTGTTTAATGTCAAGTTTTTTGTTTGGGTTTTTGACTTAGCAGATGCAGCAGAGTTAAGAATGCCAAACGGAGCCTGCATACTTTATGAAAGTAGAATAGTAAGAGGCAACAGATGCCAAAACTTCAAAGCAACATCATGAGAGTGGAGCAAAGCTTATGTAACATAGAACAAAAACCTAACCCAGGGGCAAAAATGTCGACAATCAAAGCAAAAATCAATACAAAATATTAAGCCTTCTGACCCATACGGAGCATGGGTCACAATACTAGTTCTGAATAAAATATAATAATTAGAAAATGAACATGTAAAGAATAACTTCAAATTTTGATTTATGTTGCAGGAAAACTAGAGACGAAAATGAGATTGATCTTTTATCATCAATTCAATAATTTTTGTTAAAGAATAAATTAAAAAGGAATTCTTGTTTTCACCTAGATTTTAATGGTTCTAAACTTTGATTATGTTTGTACCCAGTATTAATGATTATCACGATGCACATTTTTTGGTACAACTAGTATCAAACCCATGTAATTCGTGGTGTAGACATATATCCAAAATTTTGGCAAACTAAAACTGATACCTTTTTGATAAGCTTCGCTTTGTCAAAGAATCTATAAAAGCATGGAGATGTGTGGAGTTTGAAAAAGAAAACAAGGAATTGATTAATTCAAAAAAGAAGTTGAATGAACTAGACATAGTCGTTGAGGATAGATTGTTAACTGACTTGGAGATCACAAATTGGAAAGAAATCAAGCAAAGAATTATTGAAATTGAGAAAATGGTGAAGCTTGATCTGATCCAGAAATCTAGGATCAAATGGATTAACGAAGTCGAGAACTCGAGATTCTTCCATAATTCCATCAAAATAAAAAACAGACAAAATTATTTGCATGGTCTTATGGTGAACGGCATATGGGTTACTGATGTTAACACTATTAAGCAGGAAACCTAGATTTCTTTACAGATAAATTTCATGAAGAGTGTCCTGTTGCCCTATTCTTCAAAATTTTAATTTCAAACAACTTAGTGATGAGTTATAAAACCGGAAAATCGGAACCAGAACCGGTATAACCGATATAACCGGAAAATGCTTAAACGGTCCGGGTATTGAGTTTCAAAATTACTCTTATCCAGGTTCCATGTATTTCGGGTATGGGTCCAACGGGTCTAATTAATCCAGGTTATTGAACTGAATTTGTTTAAAAAACCAGAACCGGGTCCGGGTTTAGTGGGCCAATGAACCGGTTTAGGTTTATTGTCCAAGGAACCGATATAGGGTCAAGGAACCGGTTTAGGTTTTTGAAACTTTTTTTCCCTATTTTAATCTCAATTCCTCAATATCCTTAAAGATGAAAAATCTCTTTGCCAACCATTGACGACAAGTATTAATTATTTCTTTGAAAATTATTAATATAAATGTCTAAATTATATTTGTAAATGAAAACTACAAGAACCAACATCTACTAATTATCCATAGATAGGAGCAGTGAATCTTCTTTCGATTGTTTATTCGAACAAGTATTAAGGAATTAATATAGGAAGGATAAGATAAAATAATAATAAAAAAATGTATTTTGAATGATTTTTTTCAGGTTAAAACTAGCAGTGTTAAAAGAATAAGGACTATACTTAAATTCATATGCATTATTTTATTACATATAGGAATTAATAAAATAAAAATTCAAAGATGACTTAATTTAATGTATTATAATGGGTAAATTACACGGATGATCCTGTGGTTTGGGGTAACCTGCGCGCCTAGTCCCTGAGCAAGATTTATAACTCAGATGATCCCTAATGGTAAAATTCATAACCCGCATGATCCCTCACTTAACATTCCGTCTAGTTGCTCCGTTAAAACACCCCACGTGCAAGGCACGCAGGGGTATTTTTGTCTTTTCATGTCACCCAGTCTTCTTTAAACATGGTTTATTTGTCTTCCTCCCCCATTTCTTTCTCAATCGTAGTCTTCTCCTCCCACCTTTCTTCTCACAGCCGATCAAACATGGTGAAATGCAATTGTGGTGCGATAGGCGTTATACGTACTTCAACTACGAAAAGAAACCCAGGTAGGGCATTTTATGCTTACCCATTAGAGGTACAATGCTGGAATTGTTTTGGGGGATTTTCAATTGTAACCCTAGTATATGTATGTGCTAATCGAAGCTATTCACAGTACAGGGACCAAGGTCTGGGTTTATTAAGTGGGTAGATGAAGAAAAGCATGGTCATGAGGCGGAAATAAAAAATGAGGGGCTTGAAATCCAAATTCAAGAACTTGAGGTCCAAAATCGGAATCTGAAGGCATTGTTAATAGTCAGTTGGTTTTTGTTTTTTGGGATAGTTGTTTACAAGTTGTAGTGTTAGTTTTAAGATCAACTGATGTAGTTGCAGTTGTTTACAATACATTGTAATGAATCTTATTTGTATCAAGGGTACCCTTTTATCAATGAAAATGATATTTTGTTGAACTTGATTGTATTTTACAATTTGTGATGTATCTTGGGACATTGGTTAAACTACATTGCTAAAAGCAATCAAAAGATTACATTGACAAAAGCAGATGACCAAAATAAAAGCAATGCCAAAAGCAGATGACCACAATAAGCAAAACAGATGACCAAAATAAAAGCAATCAAAAGATTACATTGTTTGTCAAAGGCAAAGTACATTGCTAAAACTGGATACTATAATTACACCATTGTTTTTCAAAAGCAATCAACATAACCATCACAACACATAAATTAGTTCAAAAGAAGACAACGTTTGTCAATATCAACCAAAACAATACATAAGCACCTAAAAGCCACATTTATGGGACACCTTTCCCTTTTTGCTAACACTTGCCCTCACTTTTGCACTTTCATCCTTCACTTTTTCACTTCCAGCACCACTAACATTCCTTGAAGTTTGTGATCCACCAGCCTTCACTTTTCACTACCAGCACCACCAACATTCTTTGAAGTTTGTGATCCACCAACATTCCTTGAAGTTTGAGAACCACCAGCCTTCTGTCCCTTGCAAGTCCTTGCATTATGCCCACTTTTGTTACACTTAGAACATGTCACTGATTTGTGTGCTCTTGACAATTGGTTACCTTTCACCAAATCTTCAACCTCCATGGCAGATCTCCTTCTCTTTTTCTTTGGTCTTCCAATGGGCACATGGTGTTTTGGAGGGAGTAAGGTTGTAGGGCATGTAGACTTCTCCCACATGTTCCTTCCATTGATTGGTTGAATTGTAAAAGAATACATATTCTTCCATGTTTCTACCCAATACGTTCGATGGACCTAATGTTCGGGTATCTTATCAATTTCTTTGTTCTTCAACATCTCCCACATACATGCTATTGCATGTGCACATGGTATACCTATTAGTTCCCACCTTCTACATGAACATGTTTTTTGGACCATATCTACCACAAACTATTCCAAAAGATTTTTACTGACTTGATATTTCCCATTCCCATAGAAAACAGACCTTAATTGTGAAGCCTATTTCTTCAGTTTTTCAACCCATATGGTAGCTGTAGGAGTCAAGGGACCTACAGCTTTATCAATTTCCTTTTGCACAGTTACAATTTTCTTCACTAAGTACTCTCTAATGTACTCCAAACATGTAATGATTGGTACATCATGACTTTCAACAATCTTGCTATTTAGAGATTCACACGTATTGTTAAGCATAGCATATGTATGAGCTCTACCTGATAAATCATTAAAATATGTATGAGCTATTTACAGTTTCACACATATTGCACAGCTACAAACTAATGATCTAACATTAAAATCTACCTGTAAAGTGTGAACGAGACCAATGTTGAGGAGGAATGTTTTTAAGCCACTCATATGCATCATTATTAAGTTTTCTAAGTTCCTCCATTGATCGTTGAAACTATTGAACAGTAGATGCTTTTGCACAATCCCATAGCAAGTCTTTGAATTGCTTTGCCCTCCAATTAGCTTTCATGTTTTCATGGATATGACGAAGACAATAATGATGCTCAGCGCATGGAAACAACTTTGCTATAGCAGGTAACACTCCCTATATAATGGAAAATTGTATTAAAAGTATACCATATATAATGTATTAATTTGATATTCGAATTAATACCTTTTGTTTGTCTGTCATAAACGTAAAATTTGAGTTGGTTCCTAAACCCAAATCATCCCCTAGACAAGTTAGAAACCAAGTCCATGAGTTGGTACTCTCAGATTCCACAACAGCATAAGCCAGTGGATATGTTCCATTATTACCATCAATTCCCTACATAAGTAAAAATTTCACAATTAAAGCACCATCAATAACCTAAAATACAACTTTTTATAATATAAATGTAGTTCATATGAAAAAAGGTTACCACAGCTGAAAGTATTTGTCTTGGGTATGGACCCTTCATAAAAGCACCATCGAGACCAAGAAAGTCTCTTCTTCCAGCAGCAAATCCCTTTTTTAAAGGACCAAGACAGATGTATATGCGCTTGAAAGTTCTAGTTTCTAAATTTGAATTTGGTTCACTCTCTACATCAATCTTTACAGTCGTGTCTGGGTTATGTTTTTGAAGTTCTAGAACATAGTCTCTCAACAGAGCATACTGACCAACATAATCCCCTCACACCTGATTGAGAGCTTCAGTTCTAGCCCTAAACACTTTCATCTTGGAAAGTCCCACTTGGTAATCACGTTGCAGTTGTTCTTGTAAAGCACGAATTGGAATAGTTGGCTTAGATTCCACCTGAGTTTTAATCTTTTTGGCGAGAAACTTATAAGTACAAGCTTTAACATTCCGAGTTTGGAGACAACGATGTTCTTTGTTGTAAGATTTGACCATCCAGTTTATATCACGTTTCCATTTACTAGCGTAGAGGCTCCACGGGCACTTCTCTTCATCTTCATTGTTGACTTCTTGTTGACCTTCCCCACTTTTGTCTAAGTTTCCCAGTTTTGGTATTGTCCCCCTACACACAACTCTTACCATATTCTTGTCATTTTTTTCAAAACCAAGTTCCCTTCTTGTCTCAATAGCATGGACTTTAACTCTTTCTTTAAACTCTTGGGCTGTATTAAAGGTTTGAAGGATATAAAATGGTTCAGCAACATTTGCTTTATCATTCTCATAAGCTCGTTGGATAGATTTGATGGTCTTCTTTCGTTGACCAACTGGACCTTCATCCGAAGATGAGCCTGACAAAAGTACATTGTTATGTAGTACTTCATTAAGCTCTCCAACTTCATTCTCTTCTTGTACCACATTGTCATTCATACCTCCAACCCACTCTGCATCCATATCAATGTTATTATTGAAATCATTCATGTCAACTTCTACATCATCTAAGATGTTGTCATTGTCAACATAAAATTCTATATCATCGGAGTCACTGGATTTATAACCACTATCATCGTCAAAGTTGTCCCCACTTCCAAATTCTTCTTCGTTTATGTCCTCAAACATGTCCCCACTTTCAACTTCAACCCATGGATCTTCTCCATCCTTGTTACCATCCCTAAATTCAACTTCATTTGTGTGCTCAAATTTGTCCCCAATTTCAACTTCAACGCATGGATTTCCTTCCTTGTTATTATCCCCATTATCAGTTATGTCCATATTGTCATCTCCAGTGAGGTCCATTACATTAGCCTCTTTAGAAGCATCCCCAACAACATGTGTCTCCCCAGTATCATACCAATCTAAGAAAAGCCTACGAGAACATGATGGAGTTCAATAATTTCCTTTATTTGAAATTTTGCTTGATTTGGGGACATTGTGTACGTATGTAATTGGGTTTTTCCATGTTCAATATAGACTTCAATCAACTTATGCTTGGAAATGAAGGTACCCAGATGTCTCACATCGTGATCACTACCCAAAGCAAATAACTCGAAATCTAAATCTGAAAAAGGTTGTTTAAAGTGATAGTACAAAGGTATACCTTCATCAACATAGCCTAACTGTTCCATCATTTCATCAATGTCATGCACTGAGAAAGTATCCATGTCGAGTAAGTCTATATACGTTTGTTTTCCTTTGATGTACTTTCTTCCAGGAAATTTGGTGAACTCTCCACCATGGTATAACCTAATGGAAAAGATTGTCGGATGCCCCCCTGTGAAATAGCCCACTTCAGATAAGGTTTCAACAAAATCCAAGTTATAGAAGATTGAGAGTGAAAGAATACTTACAGTAACGACGTCCAACATCGATTTCCTCCATATTTGCACGTATACGCCACAACACCATTGCGTTTCAGAGGAGAAGATATCACGATTAGGGTTTTCTTATCGGAATGTTGAAATTTTTTCTGGGTTTTCTGAATGAAAAGATGGAGTACATAGCAAAATGATCGCCTCTTCGTATACAACATGGCTGTAACACTAGAATATTAAAAAGACAAAAATACCCCTGCGTGCCTTGCACGTAGGGTGTTTTAACGGAGCAACTAGACGGAATGTTAAGTGAGGGATCAGGCGGTTATGAATTTTACCATTAGGGATCATCCGAGTTAAAAATCTTACTCAGGGACTAGGCGCGCAGGTTACCCCAAACCACAGGGACCATCCGTGTAGTTTACCCTATTATAATTAATTAATTTTGTCCCGTCTCATAAAGAAGTATTTAAATAAAACAATTCATAATAAATATGCTTAAATAATTCAAAATCAAAGTCTAATATTCAAAACAATTCAAATCAAAATTCTTAAATAATTAAGAACAAAACAACACATATTCCTTGAACATCTTGTCGAAATAACGCATCTTCAATCTCTATACATAAAACAAAAATAAATATATTTAGTATTAAAAAAATTTTAACAGATAAATTAAAAGCACAAAACTTATTACCTAGTTATATTATTCGGATTTTTGGCACACATACAACAATGTCTATTAAGACTACTTGTAGCGTGTCTCGATTGATCGGCTTTAAGTATAGCGAAACAATACTTACACTTTGCTTGCTTTCGTTCAACATCATCATCTTCTACTACCCACAACAATGTAGCCAACATGTGGACATCTCTTGCAAAATCAAATGCTAAACAAATAAGTAAAAAAATCTAGGTAGATTTAAAACATGTAAAAAAATGAAGTATTAAAGAAATAAAACTAATAGATTCAAAACGTAACCTAATTGAAGTATAAAGACGTAAATTAGTTAATTACTTTAAATGCATATTTGCATACAATTAAAAAGAAAGATACTTGAATTAGGCGGTTAGCTTCCATGAATGCTCTTGAAAAGAAAAAAAAACAACTTCAAGTCTTCAACTTAGACACATACAACAATGTCTATTAAGACTACTTGTACCCTGTCTCGATTGATCGGCTTTAAGTGTAGCAAAGTAATACTTACACTTTGCTTGCTTTCGTTCAACATCATCATCTTCTACTACCCACAACAATGTAGCCAACATGTGGACATCTCCTACAAATTCAAATGCTAAACAAATAAGTAAAAAAATCTAGGTAGATTTAAAACATGTAAAAAAAATGAAGTATTAAAGAAATAAAACTAATAGATTCAAAACGTAACCTAATTGAAATATAAAGACGTAAATTAGTTAATTACGTTAAATGCATATTTGCATACAATTAAAAAGAAATATACTTGAATTAGGCTGTTAGCTTCCATGAATACTCTTGAAAAGAAAAAAAAAACAACTTCAAGTCTTCAACTTTGAGAATAATAACTTAAGTGAAAATGTAAAGGTGAGATGCCCTATTTATAATGAAAAGTTGTGATGTGTTGACAAAACATGAAAATTAAAAGATCGTTAATGTAAAAAAAAAAATTATCTTTTTGCTTTTATGTTCATGTTTTCAAAGTTGAAACCTTTAAAGGTCAAAGATACAAAAAGACAAGTTAGCGTGGTTACCCAATAAATAAATAAATAACAATTTAGATATTCTACATATATTAAATAAAAACACACAACCCAAAATAAATTAAATTGGAAAAGGTGTTTAAAATAATTGTCCAATAATCCAATACATTATTTCTTTATTTAAAAAAAAAAAGAATTAATGGTTGATATGAACTATGAACGTACAATACATTACCTCTCAATTCTCATTATGTCTTCCACGATCCACAGTAATATTATACTAGTTACCAACCATTAATGAGTCATTAAATTACTTCTTAAAAAAAAAAAAACAATGTCATGATTTATGTAACCTTAATGTAATTTTTTGTTTATTAATTTTCTTTATAAGGGTTGAAAGATTATGCGATTGAGGTAATTACAAAAAAAAAAAAATCCAGGTTTTCCGGTTCTAAACCCATTTTACCCGGTTCCGCCTTACTCTCTTTGATATCTCCGGGGTTTTCGGTTCTAGACCCACTTTACCTAGTATCATACTCGGAACCGAACTGGAACCAGTTCCTATATACCGGTCCGGTTTCCGGTTCTACAAGATCCCGTTAACCAGTTCCGGGTTTTTCGGGTTCGGGTCCATCCGGTCCAGGTTTGGACCCACTTTCATCCCTAATCGAAGTTTTTGGCGCACCTTTTGACTTGGCTGAAATTAAAAGTGCCATTTGGAATTGCGGAAATGTGAAATCCCCTAGGTTTGACGAATTCTCCTTTAAATTTATCAAATATTTTTGCCCAGTGTGAAAGACGACATTATGAGATATGTGAAGCATTTTGAAGAATCATTTGTCTCTATAAGGGAAGTAACTCTTCTTTCATCACCCTCATGTTTGAGGTTAAGGATGTTGGATTAGGTGTTTAAGCTCATAACTATAATTAATATGTACTTGACCCGAGAGTAGAATGGTCCATTTCGGGTTGCATATCACCAGGACAATTTGATATGATGGATATTTGAGTAAGTGGTTATTTATGATTTACTAATGTATTATAAGTATAATATATTAATGGAGAAATCATATTATTTAATTAGTATATATATATATATATATATATATATATATATATATATATATATATATATATAGTTTGGGCTATTGATCCATGATGGGCTAAGTTTATGTTAGTATCCATGAAGAGTTAGCCCACATGAGATATGGATCATAACCTAAGTGTAAGAATTAGGATTACATGTGACTCTTGGATTCTACACTACATATGTAACCCCTTTATGCACAAGATTGACACACTAGCTAGTGATCTTGGAGATGCTATAGTCGAATTTTGGTGCCTAGAAACTCTCTCTAAAAGTACTCCTTTTTCATGGTGTGTTGTGAACCGTTTGAGGCATCACACTTGGGGTGCTAAGTTCTTAAAGGCCAAATACATCAAGATACAACTAAGAGGTAATCATCTAATATATTTTTATGATATAATTATCAAATTGTATGCTAGTTGTAGGCTTCATGCTTTGGATATTTTTATTGCATGTATAACTAGAGAAAACTTAGATACAAAGCATTTAGGGTTGTATATGCACCATAGGATGTTGTAGTATACAAAACCCAACAATGGTATCAAAGACATGGGTTGTTTTTTTGTTGTATTTGATGCATGCTTAGTTGTTCAAAGCTGGAAAAGTCGAAAAACTGCACTCTGCAAGGGGGACTCGACGAGTCCACTCATGAACTCGGCGAGTTCATAGTGAACTCGACGAGTCCATTATCGGACTAGACAAGTCGGATAGCCTGATTGCAGTTTTCGGGTTTTTGGCCAGAATTGGATTAGGATCATTACCACAAACTGTTATATATCATAAAATATGTTTTTATGATATCGTAGTGATTATCCTCATCCAATTAAAAGATAATTGTCAAAATTTTAATATTTGTGTTAGTTTATATGATAGGCTAATTTCTTGAAAATTGTTGATTTGAATTATTTTGACTTCTGGGTTTAACTAGATCAAAGATAAATTATATAATAATCTTTATTAGTTAATAAATTGATCTAAATGCTTTTAAAGAATTCCATAACTTGTCCTCAAGTTATGGTAAATGAAAAGTCTCATTTTTTAAAATTGCTTTAAACTCGTAAGTTATGGAAACCCAAATGTTTTAAGAGTTACAAAAACTTGTCCTTAAGTTTTGGTATTTCAAAAGTCTCAAATTAAGAAACTCTTGTAATTGAAAGGTGTAACTCTTGGGTTCATAAATTAAAAAAAATAATTAAATAGTTTTTAATTTTGATTTTTGTTATTTAGAACCTTGATGTTTTTTAATAGTTCAAATTACACCTTATGGACTTTATTAAATTAATTAAAACATTTAAATAAAAGAGAATTGATAATTTCATAATGACATGGTTTAAGTTTAATTAGATAAAGAGTTTAGTTTAATTAATAGATTAAACCATCAAGTATTTTAAAAGTTTAAAGTACACCCTTATACTATATAAAATTAAAAGTTTAATATATTATATATGTATAAGTAAAAGGTCACTCTTACCATTAGTAGGCATCATTCACGAAGCCAATCTATAAGGGGGTCATAAGGTTACTGTCTATAAAATGGTGGTTTAATGGGTGTCCATTCTCATCCACTGCTTCATTGATTGGTGGAGGGCCGTTAGCTGAAAGGATAGGATAGGACACTGAACCCTCATTAAAAGGATAATGAATTATAAAGTAACTAAACCCTTATAAATTCCCAATCTTGATTACTTTAGGAAAAATGTGAATTTGATGCTAACCTATGAAATTGCACTTTGCACATTGTCAAGTCGTTAGTAGAGCATGTGTGGTTAACTGACACACTAACTTGGACTAGTAAGGGTGGCAAAGGGTAGCTCGTAGTTTGTCATAGATCAATGGAGTGTGTGTGGTTAACCGACACATTGATTAGGTGATAAATGACTTTGAGAGTACCAAGCTAATTTGCATGGTTATTCACACCTTGTTTGTGATCCTTGGTATCCCAGTCACAAACTTGAAGGGCATAATCGAGATTAAACATGCCATTGAAAAGTTCAATGAATCTCAAAAGAATCTAGGAATTTCAATTCATTTAAAACCTAATGTTCATTTTTGTTTTTCATGGTGGAAATTGGTAAATCCTCATTTACCTACCCTCAAATATTTTGCAATTGGATTACGGCATCCCTCTTCCAAATTGTAAAATATTGTGTTGGGTCCTAGCCTTAATATTTTATTTGGGAGTTATATTAAGGATTTAAATCAACCAACTTGAATTTATACCTTGTAGATGTCTAGTTCTAACAACTATGGTATTCCCGAATCTTTTGGAAATAGATTTCCTTATAAAGATGATATTCCACAGCACCATTGAGGTGAAAGATTAATACCTTCTTCGTGTTGTAATGGAACTTCTCTTCCTCTACTTCCTCCAATAATTCTCCCTAACCCACAAGTTCAATGATTTGAAAAGTTCAGGGTCACTCAAGCCCTATTAGCTAGCAAACACCAAGATGGAAGGTCTGTGTGTGCACATGCCTTGGAGATGAAGTCACACATTGGCAGGATGGGAATGTTGGGTGTCGTTGTTTCAAGGAAGTAGGCTGTTGACTTGGATCCTAAATCACTTCCTAAGTCATATAGCGGGTTCTTTAAGGACGACTATATGGGAGATCACGACATGATCCTTATTGATCTAACATATTTGCTTGTTGCTGCTGAATCAACAATGATTTGGCGCACTGGTCAAGCAAATTTTAATGGAAGATCTACTTCCCAAATTTCCATGGACGCTGACAATGGAAACATTGGAAGTCCATAAAAGATTTCTATTCCCAATGGAAAGGGATTATCCATGGTCAAGTCATTTGACTAAATGGTAAAGAGAAAGGCTAAGTCTGAGATTGTACCATGTACCATTCCGAAAGAGTATGTTTGCTTCTATTGCCAAGAGAAGGGGCATTGGTTGCAAAGCTGTTGTATCTACCTGAAGGACCACTAAGATGGTAAAGTGAAAGTGTTTGACTCCGCTTCAGGTAAGTCCATTACCTAACTCTATTAAATTCCTATTTGAATATTCTTATTACACGATGTAATGTAATTACGTTTTGATGTTTTGTAGAAGCAAAGGAAGCTTAAAGGAAGAGTGTGCTGAGTCTGATTGCAAAGAAATGGATTTCGATCGCAGGCTCGATGATCAGAATTTTGAGTTGCTGCTTAAGAGTTATGATAGATTGCTTAGAAATATTTTGGAACATACTTTTCATATGTAATTTCATTGTGAGGAAAAGTTTTTTCCGCTTTCTATAAATAAATAAAATTTTGATTTTATCTTGTTTTATATTTATCCTTGCAATGACGTTTGTGAGAATTGATGTTTGTATATATCAATTGTTAGCAATATTGGAAAATGGATTTGATTCTTTCGTTTGTGGTAGTGTCATAATTTACCAAATAAGGAAAGATTCTCATCACCCAAGTTTTAATTGGATAGAACCTTGGAATCATGCGACTTGTATTGTGTGATGAATGAGAATCTTCATCTTTGGGAAATTAGGACTAATTC